CCAAATCGCACATCATTCATTACCTGTTAATTTTTTACCTAAAATATCGATTCATGAGAGAAGTTGGACCTGAAAATTTCTTTTAGGGCGAAGCTCAAAACCCACTTCAATAAACATCATTCTGGGACAAAAAAAAAAAATATTGAGGCAGCTGCAAAAAATGGCTTCAATATAATCTCAAATGAAAATTTCTTCCACTGCTGTAAAGAGTTATTGTAATATTGAAACCGTGTATTCAATCACAAGGTATCTATCTATTTTTTATACCATTCTTATTACTTTAAGGACAAATAAAAATTATATGGACAGCCAGGCCTACAGTCTCTAAACGGTATTAAATATTTATCAATACAAATAACTTCAAATACATTATAGCATAAGGCATACAAAAGAAGTACAGTCAAAAGTCGTTAATTCGGACTCGTCGGGACTTCGGCGATTCTGGATTATCGATTTTTCCGGATTATAGATCATCAGTTTAAATCTGGTAAGATGGCATGCAGAAAGAAATTAAAAATTAAAATATGAAACCGTAATTTATGAAATAAAGAACAATTATGATCTAAAGGTATCAAAATTTACAAAAAAGAAAAAGCTTAATATTTATTTGTTTACTTTATTAAACATTTCTTTCAATGAAAGTTGTTTAAGTTGCTTCGTTTTCATGTTATAATACTTTCTCTTTAATTCTATTAAACAGACATAATTTCTTGTTTAGTTACGAAGTTCCGCTGTTCAAGTCCTATAATTGCTGTGTCTAGAATACCGACTAATTTGTCAATCGAAATTTTTTCGTTTTCAATAAACTCTGTGTCACTTTCTTCACTATCGGAAGCGAACTATAATGACGAGGAACTTGATTTAAGTCATATCAGAGACGGAGTACATTGAGATGAAATACTACATTTAATAAGGAATTATAAGCCAAATAAAATAAAACATCGGCCCTGAATATAAGGATAGTTCTGACAGATCAACTTTCAATTCATTGTGCGCCGTGGTGTACTAAAGATCTTTCTATTCATAAAATTGTTTCCCACCTAATGGACTGATAACATGATTCCTGGCTGTTCGAAGAATTATTAGACGGCAGTTTCTACTCATGATTTCTAATAATTTTAGACGCTTCTAAAAGGGTTATGACAAGAGGAAAATAGGCTTGGCTCATTTCTCTGTGGATTGGACAGTAAGGATCCTGCTACCTGGAAAAACTGTCTTCCATCTAAGAGTGAAAAAATTTTAAGATTTTTTCTCTCTTTTCTTAGTTTTCCCAATACTGTGGTGGAACAATTAATAATGATTTATCTAACATGTATATATTGTCGTTAATTATATATAAATTAAATATTACAGTTAGTAAAACTGAGAAGTGATTTATAATTTCAAATTAAGGCCAGTTTTAGAAGGATTAAAATTTGTTTCACCTACTGAATTCGGAGTTAGAAAAATGTTAATTCCTAATTAATAAGAACCATTTATTTGGAGAATTAAAATATGTTACACCTTCTTAATTTGTGAAAAAAATTTAATTATTAATTAAATGTTTTAATTATTGCAAGCTGAAATATGTGGTAGGGGATACTGATCAGTTACCCAAGTATTTACTAATAATATTATCATATTCAAGAATTTAATAAATGTGTGTTTAAAATTTAATTGCATTTGTGTATTTATCTTGTGTGTAATTTACTGTGGTCTGTCATGTCTCTCCCTTTGTTTGAGCCGGGTGGCTTTTTAAGAAACATGGAGCTTTAATTGAATTTGGGGTTATTAATTTTTCCTTTGCATAGGTTACTCACAACGCGAACCTAAAACTTAACCTGTACTACCACTATACGATTGTTTATTCGATTGATCTTTTGATAGATTATGAATTGATTTATTTGATTTTTAGCTAGTTTTGTCCGGCACCATGTGTTAAGTTGAGTTAAAGTTAAAGTTAAAGTTTAAAACCCCTAATTTTCAGATATTCAACAGAATCTGAACTCAAGAATTTCAAGGCTTTCGTTAACAAGTACTGTGAAAATATTCTGTTTATTCTTCAAATAGTTCAGATCACCGAAGACTTTTACCTCAGTATAAACGGCCAAATAAACACCTAATTTGGGATGCAATTTCCTTTCATTTCTCAATTTGATATTTTACCACACAACAAACAAAATCGGATACTTTTTTCCAAAAATTTCTATTTTATTTTAGGTGGCCTTTTACAACACTGCATGAAATATTCAAGCAAAGTTCAGTTAAAATTATAAAAAAGTAGCTAAATTTAAAAGCTACAATACATGGATATATATAAAATCTTATTTCTTACCATGTGTCTGTATCTGCTACTATGCACACTGCTTCAGACACTTGTTCCCCTAAAACATGAATCTAAAGAAAGAGATATTACTGTGCAAAATACTAAAACAAATCTATTAGTAGCTGTACATTATAATAGTACAACAAAATATTCAATAATTTATTATGACTAATCTTTTATTAGAATATAAAAACAACTATCAATTTTTCAAAATATATATTTTTAAAAATTAGCTATTGAATAGCTATTTTAATATAGGCATACATGAATGTAAAAGATTAAGACTGTTTAAATTGTTAAATAGCAACAAAATAATTACATGATAAATAATAAAATGGTGAATCCCAATAGAAAATTGTGTGTGCGTGTGAGCAGAGTGACAGCCTATCCTCTCAAGAAACTATTTTTTCTAACAAAGGAGACAATAATTCTCTGCCAAGAACTTTTAACACTTAATTAATAAAATTAATTAATAAAATAACAATATAGTACTTACTGCAATATTACACTACACCTCCCTCTTTTTTTTTTCTGATTAATTTCTACTTGAAAATATACTAGATATAAGAATTATGTGTTCATATTGACTGATGCCATGAGTGCATCTAGCATACAAATTTGATTCCATATTCTCATCGTTCAATACTGGTAGGATGTCTGGGGTTCAATAAAATTTTCCTTGCTTATCCACAGTAAACATAATTAGTCCACCTCTTCAGACATGCCTTCAGAGACAGACTTCTTTGGATTATAACTGAAGCTCCTGCAATCAAGTTGAATTTAAGTCCTCCAAGACAAAAGTTCACATCCTAGTATCCTCTCAGATAAAACAGTTACATAAATTTGATTTTCTGATACCTCTTTTTTGTCCACATTCTATTTATATTTCATAGTCTAGAACTTGTGATGGCCAGATGAAGGCTAGTGGGCTATATCCAGGTCATAAAGCTATTTAATGCTATTTGCATATTATTCCTAATTCAGTTAAGAGCAGCAACTGTCATCTCTTAATAACTACAATTCATAGAAAATATCTGTGAAGTGCTTTTTATATCACAAGTCTGCATGTTTCTAATGCAGAAATGAAATTATAAGTTTGTAACTAGTCAGAATAAAAAGTTTTCAAAAGAATTCCAACATACCAAAGAACAACACTCTTCATTACACACTTTACAAGATTGACTGATTTTTCACAGAAATCAGGTTTTCTCCTTGTACTGAGAAAAATATTTGAACTTTCCTCTACATACAAGAACTTACTTTTTCGCTTTCCATCGTTTCACACAATGGAATTATACTACCAGCAAAAACTCTTCTCAATATATTTTGTAACAGTAATTAATTTTTGCCAACTTTTTAAATATTTGGTAAACATTACATATCTCTTTACTTATAAGATGACTATTATATTTTCTGTCAAAAGGATTTCGAATTAAAATCCATAAATATATTAATTGATATGACATTTTTAAATATTCTCAAAATTAGAAGGCCATAAACTTCATCAGAGGTTATAATTCAAAACAAGATTAGAGGATTTAAAACTTAGGCATTTAAAATCAATTTAAAAAAATAAACTTTACTTTTATAGTTTATACTATATTTTTATAGTTTATAAACATGTAATCACTGACATCTGAACAATGTTGTTATGCAATAGCACACATTTTTATACAATTCTAAGAGTAATTTTAAAAATTAAAACTTGACCCTTGAATTTTAGTCTTCATAATGTTGCTCCCTTTTTAATTTTAATTCAATATCACTCATACAGAATGTCACAAAAAATTCTTTCTCATTTACCTTCAGGTTTCAGAATATTGGGCCTTTTATTTCCTTATCCAATTAAAATCAACTATAGCTTAGGTTAATACATATTGTTACATATATAAAAAGGAGAAAAACGCTGCTCACATGTGTTAATCTTGCAAGATCATCTCTTATTTCTTTTTCACACAAAGACCCACATAACCCTTGTAAACAGAAATCCATGAGGTAATGATCAGTTATGCCAGCAATCAAAGACCAGCCAAAGCTCTTATATGGAGAAGGACTTATATTTTCACTTGAAGGTATTAACCTGATAAAAGAATTAGTATTAGTCTCAGAATTTCTATTTAATGAAATGAAACACACACAAACTTTTATATACTTTTATATAAAAATCATTATAGCTGAAAATGGAATTACTACTATTGATGAACAAGAGTAATGAATTTGAAGAAAACTACAACTAGCATTCATTTCACAAAATATCATTCATTTTCATGTATAATGCATTAAATAGAACACATGCAAATAAAAATTACATTCAAGCATTTTTAAATATTTTTAAACTCAAAATACACAGAAAAATATGTTCAAATTGTGGAAACACCAATAAATTTCCAATCATAAAAAAATGAAAATCAGTTTTAGAAAGTTATTATTCAGAAGTTAATATTAACACTAGAGTATCAACCCATTTTTGCCAAATGACAAGCTATATTAATCTTTTTGCGATTTGTATTACTTGAGAAAATTATCTACCATATCACATAAAAATCAAATGTTTTATACATAATGGAAAAATAATACTATGAAAAAAATTACTTAACTGTAAGCAGTTAAGTTTAGATGAAAAATTGTACGTTATATATAAAAAAATTCAATTACATGAAATTCAGAACTTGCTTACTTATTAAGACAGATATGTCTAAGCCAGATATAAACTAACATATGCCTGGGTACAGGTTTGTAATGGACTGTATGCACACAGAACTGATAACAGCTTGACAAAATTTATTCCCAAAAGAAACACATCACCACAGTTCTGGATCTTACCACAAAGGCATTCGTACAGCTGCTCTCAGAATCACAGAACACATTTAGTAGTTACACATCAAACTCTAATGCTGCCGCTGCAGTCCGTGAAAAAGCAGCAATTATTACTGATGAGATTCACAACTTCGCCGATGGATTACTTGTGGACAACTGGCCTGGATTATTGAATGCTGACACTCTCTCGGTACAGGATTATTAAACTATTCCGCAACAAATCTCACTACTTAAGGATCCCATGGATATGATGGAAATGTTCTACATACCTTCGATTGAACGTGCGAACACAGAACAAAAGAAGCAAGCCCTCGTTATGGAATTTCAACACACAAAAAAAAAGGCATTGCTAAAGGACTCGTTCTTCTGTTCAAAAGTACATGCGAGACATTTAGTGTGCAAAACTTTAGTTATATTTTACAGTAATGTTAATACTGAAGATGTCGTTAATGAAACTGTAACCAATAACATTAAATCTATTTCTGATAATTCCAAAAATTTGCTGATAAAGGTAAGAATAATACTAATGATGTTTGCATAATTAATGCTAGTAAATCTCAATCTAATGTATGTGTGGACAATCCTAAACCCAAAAAGGGTTCTAAAAAAGGAAAAAGAAGTGTTAATGAATTACATGACTCTGATGGCTTTATTCATCCATGCAACATGGCCAGGCCTGCTAAACGTTAAGTATAATGCTGACATTGCAGTTCAAAACAAATTTGATAGTCTGGTAAATAATGTAGAAAATAATGTTAACGATGCCAAAATGCAGGGGGAACCTGACATTATTGAAGTTACACCCCCTAAAGTTAATCTTGTTATGGTCCAAATGTAAAATTCTCACAGTTCACCAAGATGTTGAAAATGACACTAAGCTTGAATTCTCAGTTAAAATTAATGGTGAATTTTTAAAAGTGTTTCCTAGATCTGAGTCAGATCATAGACAAATTACTAGGCATCTCGATAAGTACCAAATTGATTATTATATTATTACTAATAAATTAGATTGACCCACCAAAACAGTCATTAGGGGTCTTCCAATTGACTGCCCTATAGATGAAATTCACTAAGAGAAAAAAAAGCTAGGATTGAAAATTCATAAAGTCACTCAAATGCAAAGAATTCACTCAAAAGCCCCTATTGCACATTTTCAGCTTCAGTTGGAAAACTTACCAGGGATGGACAAGATTTATGATGTGATATATCTCATGTGTTTTCATGTTGAAATAGCTGTGTACAAATCCAGTGTCACAACTGCCAGTACTTCCACCACTCATCCGATACGCATCGACTCAAGCCTCGCAGTGTTAAATATGTGAGGCCACACAAAACTGGAAATTGTACTGCAAAGAGCTTAGATAAGTGCTGTAATTGTTTGCAAATGGGGCACACCGCGAACTATCGTGGATGTCCTAAGTTTCCTAAAGTGTATTAAAAGGCCTATATTAAAAATGTAAATGATAATGTAATTACTATTAAACCTGTTAATGATAAAAATGTTATGCCAAAATTAACTGTAAATACAGTAAGACCCCGCTTAACGCTGTTTCGTTTAGCGCTGTTTCGGTTTAGCGCTCTTTTATTTCAACCCGGGGATTCCACGAAATCGCTTGCAGCATGCGGGGACTCCCCAAAATATTATGCAGCGATAGGTTTCAAATACATATCCGAAAGAGTGTACTTGTATTTCTTGTTTGGTGTGGTATTGTACAGACATATTTTGAAGGGGTAAATGTGGAAGATGTCGAAGAAATAATTCAAGAAGCAGCGGCTAGTCTTTCTAATGATGAGCTCAAGGAATTAACTGAACAAGAAGAAAACAAAAATGTTGACAGCAGTGATTCAGAAGAAGAGCAAAAAGAACTTTCGATGGCGTTTGTAAAAAGGAGTTAGTCTACCATAAACTGAAATAATGGATCAATTCATTGAAAATGATCCGAATTTTGACAGGAGCTCAAAAGTAAGGCGTGGTGTTAGAGATGCTCTATCCGTTTATGAAGAACTTTTAAGAGAACAACGCAAAAGAAAAAGGCAAACACATTAGATGCTTTTGTCACAAAATCGCAGACCACTGAAAACGCGGAAGGCTAACTAAAATATGACTGACTGAGAATTTTATTTTATTTATTTTTTTTTTTTTAAGAATATTAGTTTTGTTATTTATATTTTGTATTTATTTTTGCAAGAAATAATAATGTGGTATTAATTTGGGCTTTAAGAAATAAATATTTGGTTTTATTTTTATTAAAAAAACATACTTTTTAAATTTAATACCTAACCAATTTCCTAGCCATCTTCCCCTAACCCCAATATTTACATGTAAAGATAGCCTCGTTTAGCGTTGTTTCGCATTATGCTCTACTTTGATGGAACATATCCCCCCCGTTAAGCGGGGTCTTACTGTAATGTAAATAATGCTTCTAATGTTGCCCCTGGTGTTAGCTATGCCATTGCAGCCAACAAATTATTTGAATATTTATTTGATTTCTCTGCACACTTAGTCTCACACTTGCCTGTAATTGTTAGACATTTATATGTTTTCTTCACAGTTGTTCTCACTGGCTCGTCAGGGTTCTTTGGCTTTTCCAGATGGGCATTTTCACTTTATTTACTTTGTACGGGCTTATTTTGTTATACTTAATAACCTTAATCTACGTATCTATTAATCTGATCTCATTAAAAAAGTTTAGTCATGTATACATGTACATATTTATATTTTCATCATCAGTTATTGCCTTTTGTATTTCAAAATAGCTTATTTTCGATTAGGGATAGGGTCCATGCCCAGGCACCCTGGTGTTACACCACTTGCTTGCATACAGTAACATATACAGATCAATACCAATTACAGTTATACAGGAACTGGACCAAAATATTATCAAATTTGGCAACTTTTGGAAATTTCTGGCCAAATTTGAAGACAAAAATTAGTTGCAAAAACCACAGACAGCTTGGCGATAGTGAGATAGCTATTTATCTCAATATTAAATAGATGTGACCCTGTAGTCTCATTGCTTGGGCAGAGCTTTGTCTCTTCAGACTTTTCCTCTTACATCATAAAAAAACTCTAAAATTTCACATATAATTTTACTAAAATTATTTACATATATACAAAATTTGTAACAATGTATTTATACAAATATATATGAAAACTATAGACATCATGTAACATAACAATGAAATTATATAACTATGAAAATTATATAAAAGAGATATTTAAAAACGAAATATGTCACTAATCTATATGTGCACTGAATGTAGCTGCAGTTTTAAAGCTAGGCTAGGTTAAATAATTAATGCAAAAGCGAAAGGACTTCCCAAGAGAAATTATTTTGTATTCATATTATACATGCAGAAACACAATGAAAAGAGATGTTTTTATGTCAACACAATTGCCAAGATTTTAACCCAAATTGAACTAGCTGTGTCTAGCAATTCTATCTGCTTGACCACTCATGGGCATACAATATTAAGTGTATTATTACTATCATTATTTGTACATTAAAAATTTTCCATAACTTGAATCTATATACATTTTTCCAATTAAAAAAAGGGAAGAGTCAGAAAGAGGAAAACTTACTCAGGTAAATGAATCTCTTCAAGACCTTCAGGGCACCAGTTATCAAAATGTTTTAGCATTTCAGAAAGATGCATTTTTGCTCTGCTAGGACTATGAGGTTCTTCCATGCTATGATAACCTTCCTCAACAGATTCACATTCTTTCACTTTTGATGAATCAAAATTTAGGTCTTTGGTACAAGAGCTATCATTACTACGATTAGCATAGCACAGACAGCTTTTGCAACAACAAGTTTTAGATTTTGCTGACCTACAGATTTCTGAACAACAGGTTGCATTATCACAGTTGTCAGTACAAGTCACATTAATTACAGGATTGTTTTCCTTTCCATCTTTAATACTTGAATTTATATCTAAAACAGTACATGGTAGTTCTTGGCAGCAATTAGCATGTTGTTCACTAAGAGCAAGTCTTTTTCTTGATGTTTCAGAACATTCCAGCTTGTCTTCCAAACTCATATACCCCAAACTATCCCGAGAATCTTTTCCATTATTCAAACTGCATGATATTTCTGAAACATTAGGAACTAAACAGGAGTCTGTTACTGTGTTACTGTTAACATTAACAGAACTGTCACTAGTCCTTCCTTCTGTAGGTGTAATAACAACATCACAGTTGTCTTTAGAAGAATCAGATGCAGTGTCAACATCATGGCTACTGAGGAGAGCACTATTAGGTGAATCTAAATTTTTAGGAAGACTTTGTATGGATACAGATGGAAGATCACAACTTCCAACAGGTGTGCTTAAATTACTTTGACTTGAATTAAGTTTACTGCTGATATTGCTAGTATCTACACTGGATGCTTTTGTTTCATTTGGAAACCTAAAATATACATAACATTTGCTTTTACGAAGGCAAAAAACTTTAGAAAAATAATGAAAGATAAGAAATTGATCATAATCTAAAGATTTAACAGAATACTTACTAAATGGAAAACATAATTTCATTCATTCAAAAAAAAAAAAAAAAAAAAATTCAATTCAAATATAATTTCTTCTATTCTCTCATATGTGAAATACAATTTCATTCACTCCTGTTCCTGCAGAATATAATTTTCCTAATACAAAATAAATATCTTTTTCACTTTATATAGACGCAGCATGCTCACCTTTCTTTAAAACTGGTTAAAATTTCCTATTAACAGAAGATATTTTATGTATAAATTGGTTGGAACAGTTCTTGCTCTTATCTACATGTTAAAATTTCAATATTTTAAGTTTTACTTACAAATGGGATATATATTATAAAAAAATACAAAATATTTGGAAACTCAACTTAAAAGATCTGTTCTTTTTGTGCAATAAATTACTTTCATGCTAAAAGATATGCAAAGCATGAAACTGAAGCAACATAATTACAACAAACAGCATCACAGAAATTATTTAATATGCTAAGTTGCTCCTCTTCCTCACGGGAAGGGCATCATGCATCCGTGACCCAGTCTAATTTAAAATGGAATTAAGGAAAATGACATTTCAGCTTTGAAATATCAAAGTATACACACACACAAATAATAATAAATAAAGCGTCAAAATACTGCTAAAAAGTGGGCAGAAAATTCCTGCTACCTAAGATATTTTAATGGCAAAATATTAACAACACATCATTTTTACTTGCATTACGAAATTACAGGGCAGCTGATACTTAAAATGTCTGAAAACATTCATTTTCAACAAACCTTAAAATTATCAGTATAATATCCCATTCAAATCTCAACAGGGATTTAGTAGGTATCTGTCTACACAAGTGCAAGAATTTGAAAAATCAATAAAAATGTTCATAGAAAGAAATTTTTCTGGTAATTATAGTTTTAAAAACTAGTACAGCTCTGATAATTCAGTTAACTATGGCAAAGCATTTGCAACTATCTGCGTAAGGGGATGGATAGCTTTACGGAAAATTTTCAAGAAAATTGGCCTGCATTTGCATTATACGAGAGGTATTTAAGAAACAAATTTGGAAATGAACTACCAAGATTCTTTTGCTTAGGTCAGTGGATTATAAGAGAGTAGCTTTTTAGAATTTTATATAGGTCTGGAAACAATGCCACATTCATACTTTTTCACATGAAGGGTTTAAGCAAAAGTTTACTAAAAGAGGACATACCTTAAATTTTTATCAGTAATAACAAGTCCATCTGTTCTTTCGTACAGTTGCTCACATATGTCACTACAACGTATAAAATAACTTAAAACTTGCAAGAACTGCAGTACTATTTCTTTCTTCTGACCTTTTACAACTGTTTTTGAAAGTTTCAAAGGAATTCCCAATGCACCATATAAATCACTGGAAAAAAATTCATAAATAATAAATTACTAAACATAATTAACATCAAAATTAATTTAATCGCTCATCAAAGTTTTTAAAAAATTACTTCATCTAATAAAATTACCAATAATTTTCTGTAATACTGTGACTACCATATTTACTCGGATATTATTCCAATTTTTTAAAAATCTTTCTTATGAAAATTGAAAGGGGAAAATTATGTGAATAATTTAATTTCCAAAGAACGAAGCTATAGCAAGAAGATAAATGAAATGCATTCATAGATAGACTACAAGTAACTATTACATTACTGATTTAAAAGAAAACTAAATTCCAATAAAAATACACAGTAATATTAACATTTTCTTCATTTCTACTTTCAATATCTTGAATTCCCTTTCGTACTGTAGTCCACTGCTGGCTACAATTTGCAAGTTTTTATCATCCACATTATTTCATCATCTTTGTCACTGTTCAGTGAGTCACCCCATGAGCAATGATCTTCAGAAAAATCATGAGCATTAGATATCCTTTCCTGGAAAATCTTGAATGAATCTATTATTGCTTCATTAATCAGAGTCCAAGCACCCAAAATCCACATGCAAATTAATTAAGTAAGATAAAAATAATTACTATATGGATGAATTCATTTTAAAAGTTAGGCAAGCTTGCTTTCTAAATGCCTTGAAGAAGAGGAAAATTACATGAATACTTAAATTTTCAGAACCTTAAAGCTAAAAAGAAAACTGCACGAGTAAATACGGTATACATTTTCTCCTGCCAGGTCAACTATACTGTCAAATACAGTAGTCAATAAACTTCAAGTTTTGCTTCTTGCATGAATTTTTTTTTAAATCAAACATATTTACATACAAGTATTATATACAGTTTGTTACCACTGTAATTTTGAATTGACAGTAATTCTGGTTAAAGAGAAGAATATGTCAAAAATGAAAAGAATAAATTTAACTTTGTTTGGACATCATACCCCCTACCATAAAAAAAGTTTCCATTAAGGTAAATTTTTGAACACCTTGAAAAACACAGAATTTGCCATGCCAGGATGAGAATACACTGGATGAAACAAATTCTTGTTCAGATAGTCTGCCTGAGGTTATTTATGCATAATGATGAAAAGACATGCTTTTCCGTTATCTAGTACTGGTTTTCTTAAAAGCTTTCACTTATTTCATTTGTGAAGTCTGTTACTTAATTGTGTTACTAAGGTCAAAATTTTGCTATTGATCATTTGAAATTAAGCTATCAAGTGAAAACAGGAGATATGCTAAGAGTTTTTTTTTTTTTGGGGGGGGGAAAGCTTAAATAAAGATGATATGTTATATAAATGCTAGCAAAGGATTTGCCAATAGAGCTATTGAATTATATGATCACAAGTTTAGCATGGCCAAAATGCATTTAGCAAACTTACAGTACCAGTTTATATAGATTCTGGTGAAGCTAGCTTACACATTACTAAACCTGAGATATACAAAATGAATTTATTTTCAGTTTTGGCAAAACTAACTTCCACTAGTGAATTAAAAATAATATCCTGCTGCACTTACATTAAAAGAAGGATGCTTTCTATAGTTTCATCATGGATTACAACGATATACAAGATGAAAAAAGTAATAGAGGTTAAGTAATAACTCATCTATGAAAAAAATATTTGCAGAAGGTCAAGCATACATCAAAGTAAAATCATATAGACTCTTATCAAAGTAAAGTCATACAGAGAACTTGACATCGATACGTTCACGACATGAGATGTGGTATTATTTCTGAAGAGCCAATAGCAGTGGTGCATGGCATGGCGTGACGTGACGTCTTGGGGCAGTCACGATCTGGCATGGCACTGCCTTATTGCTTATTTTCCAAATCAATCAGCATTATGTTTTGAGTATGTATGATGGTATTGGCGTGAAGATTAGAAACTAGTTGTGAATGTAAAGTAGTGGCCAAAATTGTGGACACTTTTCGAAATTTTTTATGTTTTTGAACTTTGTATGCTTATAGAAAACGTTACGTTTCACAAAATGCAAACTTGTATATATCATTTTAAAGAGAATTTATTACTGAATTCAATACAAAACACACAATTCAATTATTTGCAATACAAAAAAAGTTAAACGATAATAGTTATCGATATACATTAGATAGTGATGACTGCAGTGAGTTATCAGTACTTAGTTGGGTATCCTTTATTTTTTATTACAGCTTCACATCGACATTTCACTGAGCTGACAAGAGTTTTAAGCTCCTCTTTCGTTATTACATGATGCCAGGAAACAATTATAGCCTCAATTAGTTCCCTTTTATTTGATGGGCTTCTCATTCGCACAAGAGTTTTTCAAACGGTGCCACAAATTTTTGATAGGATTGAGATCAGGACTGTTTCCTGGCCATGACAACAATTTAATCCTCTTTGTACGAAACCACTCTTTCGGTATTTTGGCCGTGTGGCAAGGAGCAGAATCCTGCTGAAAAATAAACGAAGCATTGTTGGGAAAGAGATCTCCGATGGAAGGTAGAAGTTTTGGTTCTAGAATAGTCTCAATGTATTTTCTGGCATTCAGTGTCCCATCGATGACATGAAGGCGACGCAATACCATCTGCTGACATGCATGACCAAATCATAACACTAACTGGGTTCTTCATAGTTGCTTGAATGCAGTCAGGATGTAGCTCTTCTCCTGTTCTACGTCTTACATATTTTCGTCCATCACTACCGAATAACGATATCTTAGTTTCATCACCCCATATAACTTGTGACCACTGATCATCTGTCCAATTAATGTGTTCCTTTGCCCACTGTAGTCTTTGTTTTCGTTGCTGAAAATTAAGATAAGGCTTTTTTCATGGAATTCTACCTCTCAAGTTCAACATCTGTTAATCTTCTCCTGATTGTTCTTGAACTGACAGAAATACCAGCATCATTCAGATCACTTCTGATGGCCGCTGATGACATTTTTCTATCTTGGAGACACAGTCTTTTTATTCTTCTGTCATCAATAGATGTGGTGCACCTTTTTCCTTCTTTATTGAATTTGTCTTCTGATAGCGTAAACAAAACTTTCGGACTCCAGATGTAGTCACTGAACCACCCACCTGTCTTGCAATTTCAGCATACGAAAGAGCACTTTCTCGTAACACAATAATATTACATCTCTTTCTAGGTGTCCAATCTACTCTTATTGATGTCATTGCTTCTTGACTAAATATTAAAAATTTTTACAAAAATTCCTACTTGTAATTGCAGTGTATAAGAAACAGGTCCTCCTTCTACAGAACAAAGCAAAATAATGAATTGTTTCAAGTGTAAACATGATGTCAGCTTCTATTGGCAGTTACTAACATTTGATTGGTTCTCAGAACAAGAACAGTGATTGGCCAGGAAAGCTGGACATTACAAACCACTTCATAACTGTGTTTTTTTATTTATATTAAAGTACATATAACTTTTTTTGTATTGCAAATAATTGAATTTTGTGTTTTGTATTGAATTCAGAAATAAATTCTCTTTAAAATGATATATACAAGCTTGCATTTTGCAAAACATAACATTTTCTTTCTACAAGCATACAAAGTTCAAAAACATAAAAATTTCTAAAAGTGTCCACAATTTTGGCCACCACTGTATGTGATTTCAAATTAAAGTTTGATTTCATGCAAAATTAATGTATGAGTAACATTCTAAATTATATAGATTATAATAACATCATTGTAACTCCCTTGTAGTATTTTCAAATGTTATGTGCCAGCACATAATGCGGCATTGGAGATATAATTTTAACTCTAGAGCGAATCATGCACTAAGGCACAGTCATAAAATTCTCTAATTAAGGGCTCAGTAATCAGTGTGACACACATAATCATCTCTTTATTACCTCTTTTAAATCATATTTTTTATAATAAATAAGTAGGCATATGGGTACAATCTACTCTAAGCCAAAGCAATAACTATGTACACAATCTGACATGACCGATAGCGAAACAGTTAAGGAGCTACTGCACAAAACTGAGTGGCTACAAAAAACAGTTAAGCATTAGCAAAAACAGAGAAAGTGTCAGCACACTGTCAATGACAGTCTAAAACCAAATACATGAAATTTTTATGTTAGATAATATACAGATATTTTAATATAAAGATACAAATAATACATTTACATTAAAATTAAATAACAACATCACTGCAGAAAGTAAAAATATGTTTGTCCATTGTTGAACAATAATTTTTAATTGAACAGTTTGATTGATTACATGAAACATACTAAAAAGCAGAAAAGAAAGTTTTCAAAAAATAAGCTTGCAGCTTGCAGTTTTCAAAAAATAAGTTGCAGACAGGGTGCAAAAAGAGTATGGGATTCGAACTCACGACCCCCAAAAATAAACATTATTACCGTCAGCTTTACCACTAAGCTAGCATCACACGGGAGATGTATGCATATTTTGGCTTATATACATCATCAAGTAAATCAATTCTTAAAACTAAATTTTTGGTTCTATTTCAGTGTGCTATCGTCTGAAAAATTCACCAGAATTTGTTCTTCAGCTTCTAGTACATTTTTTACAAAAAACATTATCTTTTAAAATGGTGTTCCGATTGAAGTTAAACGGGCTGCTAAAAATATATTTTCATGTGCTTACAAATATATGTCAGCAAAAACATATATTTATAAAGGGAAATACAAATTTAACATACTCTTTAATGCAGTGGAATATTTAAAAGGCTATCAAATTTAATTTTAAAATTAACGTTTTTAGTTTTTACCTGTTTCAAAAGAAAAAAATAACAAATCTTTTAATCATATCTAATTTGCTATAGCAGTTTGATATAGTCAGACATTCATTTTCATTAAAGGTAAATGAGTATGCAGAACTAGGAAATAATCATCAGGATAAATTTTGCTATTTCATGGCCTTGGAAATATAATTTTTGCCGCTGATTTTCTTGAACGCTTGATTTTATCTGCGAACAAGTACTGTAGTTGCAGTTATCTTATTTTTCTTATCTTTTTTTAACTAAATCAGCTGATTGCTCTTTTTCAGCACGCAGATTTCTCGCTATAATGTTAATTCAGAAATAAGTATTTTTTAGCAAAACATTTTTCCCTAAACGAGCGTTCATCGCTACTTCTGCCACCATTAATTTTTGGTGACTGCACCTGATTGCTCCTTTTTTACCACGTGACCCCAATGCATCTGCAGACATACGGATAGAAGTTGGACATTGTTGAACTCCATCCATACGCCATCCTTCACCGCACATCGACCAGATTGCAGATGTCAATCAAAGTGAATTCGCTCGCTGATTGGATAAACGCATAGACACCACAACGCATACGCAGCAGTGGAAACGGGCCTTTAGACAAAGAAAAAATGAAAAAATTTTGACACATTTTTTTTTTTTAAATATAAATGTTCATTTTACTTGCTTTGCACATGACGCTGTCAATTTGTCTGTTAACTTATTTAAAATTTTCACATTGTTCTTATGTCTTAAAATTAGAAATTAAAGTTAATGACCTAAAGCTGCAATAGTCTATTACAGTACAAGTGAAAAAAATGACAGTTTCACTCACGCATGTGTCAGATTTGCATAATACTTATGGGGTCCCACAAAATTTTTGTAAATATTATGGGGTCTTGGAGTCGAGAAACAAATCTTAGTGATAAAAAGGGGTCGCAAGTGATAAAGCCCTGGTTTTAATAGAAACGGTGGATAAAATAATTCTCCTTAAAATTCATCTACAATTTTACATCATGAATATAATGAACTGTGCCTAAATCTCAGAATCCAGTAGCAGTGTCAAAAGCATACAACATTTTCTTTATTATTATTCTTTTATTTCTTTTCTTCAGTTCTATGGGAAGTTCTTAAATCAAATAAATGCAAATAATCTAATATTTTTCATGAGTCAATCCTTAAGAAATTATACTTTAGAAGCATTCAACATATATTGAATCAATTTTTAAATATTATTGTAATAATTATTTGTGTATTAGTAATTAAGAAGCACCCATGCTTTTATTATTTATGATATAAAATTGTATGTGAATTTCATATACAATTATTTAATTTCATTTAAATGATATGATAATTTTTAGTACATTAATTACTTTATCCATTTTAAATAAAAGCTCGCATTAAAAAACTTCCATTTTTCCCCCATCTTTTGATCAAAGGATCCACTTTTCATCACTACAGACTCATTTAGTTAAAAAAAAATGGTTTTATCTTCACTAACTTAATGAGATGAGAAATTCTGTTCACTGTTTCAAGTTAACATCCAGCAATTCTCATGGAACTAAATGACTCAATTCAGAAACTTCTCTAACAGCTTTTAAAAATTCCAAATAACTAACTTAAATACTCTTCTGACACCCATGATAACAAATTTTCTCTTAAATTCACAAGTGACAATGACACATAACACATAATTTCTTAAAATGCTTTGTCAATTCTAATAATACATATACATTGTACAATTAATGCAATAACTGTAAAGTACTGCATTCTTCAATTTCACAAATACAAAACACACACACACACAAAAAAAAAAAAAAAAAAAAAAAAAAAAAAAAAAAAACAAAACAAAAAAATATCTGCATTATTCATAGGATGACCAATAAAGCATACAGTCAAAACATTTAACAAATGCCAATGGAAATAATATAATACAGTTTTACTTTTTATTTCTTTTACATTTAGTTCATTATGCATGTCCTTTTTGTAACAAATCAAAAAGATGTGAAAAATGTTTTCGGATATGTTTAGTCACTACTTTATGACTAAATGATAATCTTACTTGAAATATTACAACTCATCATAACCTTAAAGTAAATTTTGCCACAGAATCCAAAGAAATCATACACTTACCTTAATTGAACCCAATGTGGATTATAAGGCCTTGATTTTGCTAATAGATCCACCTAAAATGGTGCAGAATGTTATTTCAAGAGTAGTCTTAAAAGAGATCTTATATATTCATATATGCTCAGTTTTCCTTACTTTTATTGAAATTGGAAAATATTAATGAGAATGTAATATATGCAAGAATTAATTAGACACCTAAATTAATACAAATAAATATGAAACATGTGTATAGATATAACACGTACTCTTCCTATGCTTGCATATATCGAGCAAGTTCTTAAAAAACTAACAAAATGTTTAGAACACGCTGCAGCAAATATGCTTTGATATTTACTTACACTTTTTATATCAATAAAATAAATGAAAAAATCTATATCGATACATTTACAGAAATGATCAATGTAAAATGCAAATTCTAACCAAAACATTAATTGCATAACAAATGTCTTAACACTTTAAAATTCTTATCCACTGATTATACTATAATAAAAATGATTATTCAATACATGAGGACTTCCCATGAGTACTGAATTATTTAACTGAAGGAAAACTGCGAGACTTTTGTGTAATGCATCAGCTCAAATTTTCACCTGTTTCATCAAATTCCCAAGTGTACCAAATTATTGCACTAAAGAAAAATCTTTGATCAAAACTTTCACGTAATGCAGAGCCATATTATCAGAATAATGTGCACAATGCAATAAAACAGTTAACACTGTTTAATGCACTATAGGAATGAAAAACTATCCAATACTGCATGTATGAGGTTTGCCATTTAAATTCATATATTGCACATCTATCTCTGAAAAAAGTAATAAGCACTTATCATGCATGTTCAAACTTTTCTAACATATAAAGCAAATGGCAATACTTTCTGCAGTTACCATAAGTCATCCTTTAATACAATTGTCTTTCACTTCATGTGCCATAAAGACATTTTTGCCAACAGTGCTGCAACTTGAAGTGGATTTGAAACATTATCAAAAAGTTACACCCTGGAACAAACTTGCATTTTCCACAGCAGGTTCTAGAAACAACACAACTGTAAATGCAATGGAAAACATCACTACCAAGAAGTGATTTAAAAAAAAAAAAAAAAAAGTTTGAGTCCACTTTCATGTTGGTGCAAACTTTCATGAGACACGTGAGAAAAATACAACTACATCAACTGGTGACTAATTATGCAGCATAGAATATTACTGTTTGGTATATATGTCTGGCATGGAGAGTGTTCACATCCACACAGCAAGAGCTCACACCTCTTTTTGTCTTTTTTAAAAGATGGAAATAATAATTTTTAAGAGACGGAATTATTTAATCAATTTGGGATGGACACCTCAATCCCACATGCTGCCTTGTAGGGGATAACAATTCATGCTGCTAAGCATAACTTTTCAAAAAAATTCACACATGTTAAATTTGTGGTCCAATTGTTCCAATTTTTGCTACAATATGAGAGGAGCACCATATAATTATTAGAATTAATTTTAAAACTTTATATTTTCCTTAAAAATTTTATAAAATAATCAATTCTAGAGTAGCATAATTTTTGATTTACCTCAAAATAAATATATATGGAAAAATACTCAAACAGCAGATTTTACTTAACACATTAATAAAAATAAAAATTATTAAAAATCTCTTATAAAAACCCACCATGTATAATTTTTGACTTGCCTCTAATAAATATACACTGAAGTGACAAAAATCATGGGATACCTCATAATATTTTGTTGGTCCTCCTTTTGCCTGGCGAAGTGTAGCAACTCGACATGGCATGGACTCAACAAGTCGTTGGAAGTTCCATCCAGGAATATTGAGCCATGCTGCCTCTATAGACATCCATAATTGTGAAAGTGTTGACAGTGCAGGGTTTTAGGCACCAACTGACCTCTCGATGATGTCCCATAAATGTTCGATGGGATTCATATCGGGCGATCTAGGTGGTCAGATGATTCACTGGAATTGTCCAGAATGTTCTTCTAACCAATCGTGAACAATTGTGGCCCGGTGACATGGCGCATTGTCATCCATAAAAATCCCACCGTTGTTTGAGTACGTGAAGTCCATGAATGGCTGTAAGTGATCTCCAAGTAGTTGAAGGTATCCATTTCCAGTCAATGATCAGTTCAGTTGCACCAGAGGACCGAGTCCATGCCATGTAAAAACAGCCCAGACCATTATGGAACCACCACCAGCTTGAACAGTGCCTTGTTGACAACTTGGGTCCATGGCTTCATGGGGTCTGCGCCACACTCGAACCCTACCATCAGCTCTTACCAACTGAAATTGTGACTCATCTGACCAAGCCACGGTTTTCCATTCGTTTAGGGACCAACCGATATGCTCACGAGCCCACAAGAGTCGCTGCAGGCGATGTCGTGCTGTCAGTAAAGGCACTCGAGTTGGTCTTCTGCTGGCATAGCCCAAGGAAGACAAATTTCGCCGCACTGTCCTATCAGACACGTCGCTTGTACATCCCACATTGATTTCTGCGGTTATTTGACGCAGTGTTGCTTGTCTGTGAACATTGACAACTCTATGCAGACGTCGCTGGTCTCGGTCGTTAAGTGCAGGTGGTCGGCCACTGTGCTGTCCATGGTGGGACGTTATGCCTGAAATTAGATACTCTCGGCACACTCTTGACACTGTGGATCTCGGAATGTTGAATTCCGTAATGATATCCGAAATGGAATGACCCATGCGTCTAGCTCCAACTACCATTCCGCTTTCAAAGTCTGTTAATTCTCGTCGTGTGGCCGTAATCACGTCAAAGCCTCTTAACATGAATAACTTGAACACAAATGAAAGCCCTGCCAAAGCACTTCGCATTTATACATTTTCTACGCGATACTACTGACATCTGTATATTTGCATATTGCTATCCCATAACTTTTGTCACTTCAGTATATCTCCCATATAAAGTATCCATCTTAGGGGAAAAAAAAATATATGAGGAACAAATAAACCTCTAAAATGATAGAACCACTATCCCCTATATTCCCCCTCAAAAACCCCTTCACTATCCCCTATATTCCCCCTAAAAAAGGCAGCTGTGTTTATTTACATTAACTGACCCAAAAAAAGAACCATTATATTGCTCAACACCTGATCTCATTCCTAAACAAAATACCAAAAATAAAAAACATTGCAAAGGACTGCATAAATTTCACTACAGCAGACATACAGCTACATCCACTGCCAACAAAAAATAATAAGTAAATGTTCTATCTATGGAGTCATAGGTAGTACATTCACACCATAGAATGAATTTAAGGTTGTTTCATACATAACACACCCAGGGTTGAGATAACATTTTCCTGTATTTTGGTTTGAGGTGTTACGGCAAGGATGAAAATTCTACTGCAGTTAATGGTTGACTAGATGGCATGGAGGTTAATGTCCTTGATTGCTGTACTGAAGGACCAGGTTCGAATTCTAGAGAAGACTTGGATGTTGATAAGTGTACAATGTCTATGTGTAAAAGAGCACTCAAAATATATAATGAGCTTCTTGAGAGATTGACGGTAGGGGAAGAGAGGTGGGAGGCAATCGGACTCTCTTGGAATTCCATTTGGGGCAGAAGCTTAGCAGTTAGCATGGCCTAACATGCCTAGATGGATGCACAGGTGCTGGCCTCACTTTAACCTGTATCCATCACATATTAACTGGGAATAATATCACAATAAGATTAACACATTTTTGTGGTCACATTTGCAAGGAAAAAGATGGTGCTACCTGCTATTCCTCCCATTAGACTACTGCTCTGCTCCATGAGGAATTCCAAGACTAGTTCTCAGTCAATCAGTGACCAGAAGTTTAAAGCATCATCATGCAGACTTGCACCTTGTGACTACTTTCGCTTAGGGGTTTCTCAAATCACAAGGTTTAAGCAAATAAAGCACAAACACTGCAAGAACTTAGAAATTTAGTTACCACATATGCAGATATAAGATAACTTATTATTAATTTCATCACGAGACTGCTATGCTTCAGAACAAGTTATAGAAGACATATGCCAAACATTATTTTTTATTCATAAATCACAACATTTATAAATATGTACAAATACTTTCCATTCTAAAAAAATAAAGAATTTTGATCAGCATATTAAATAAGGCACTTGCACTGTGCCTTATTTAATATACTGAGCAAAACAGAACATCCTTTATCTTATCTTACAATAAGATTTCTAAATGTAATAATGAAAATTGTTCCAATACTATCAATATTACAACACAGAAACAATTATATTTTAAAAAATTGTTCCACTAATAATACACGTCCACAGAATAAAAAGGCAGGAAGAAAAAAGAATAAGATCAATGAATATTTACCCAGAAAGGTGTATATTTATGGCTAGTTTGAGTTGACTGGATTTTAGAATCGGTAGGAATAACAGAAGGTACCCATGCAAGATGATACGTAAGTACAGCGGTCAATATGGTGCTCACAAAACTGGAAAGAAACAGTTAAGGTATTAAGAATAACAATTAAAAAAATAATTACACATATAGCATTTCAAAAGCAGCACAAAAAGGTCGAAATTACTCCACATTATGAAAATATCAAGAACAGCACAGGAATAAAATTTATGTTCCCTAATGCACTGAATGGCAAAATTCTTTTAAGGTATACAAGCTTACCAAGCTACACAGAAATCACATGCAGCCAGTCTATACAGCTGTGAAGAAATTAATTTAAGGTGAAGTACCTGAAGTCAACAGCTTCATTTATACAGTTACTAATGAAGTCACCATCATAAATTCAAAGAACATTTTACAATGTAAGTACTGTTATATGGTAAAGAAGAAAAATCTAATGGCTGGATGACATAGATGGGAAGTAGTTCATATGACATAGATGGGAAGATGATGACATAGATGGGAAGTAGAAGTTGTTTAGAACAAAATCTTGCACTTTCTTTGCATGCGTTATACCTTCTCATTACAATAATCTTTACTTTAAGCTATACTTCAATTATATATATATATTGTTATAAAGTGGCTACAAGCTTTATTTCCTTAAATATTGATCTTACACAAGTCTTTTCATAAATGGTATTTCTCAAAATAATTTAAAGACTTTTATGAATAATTTCAACAATGGAAAACTTTGCTAAAAATAAAACCTAATTTTTTTAGTCTTTACAGTGATAAAAATTCTAATTAGTAAATTATTTATGGTTTTATAAAAAATTCCATCTTTTACAATACTATAATTCCAAGAGACATAATCAATATTTTCATGAAGTCAGGTATAAATTTAAAAAGTGCTGTTTAATCCAACAAAAGCCAACTAATTACCAAAATAAACAACTTTTGCTTTGCAGCTGCTCCTCAAATGAAATTAAAAAAGTGTGAACTGCTTCACTAATAGGTATTGGAAGATGAACAAGCTCAATAAATTTATTTTCGAATATCAGCAAATTTTGAATGTAAAGGTACAGAATTTTTTTGCCTAAATTTATTAAAAGATGTTTAAAATTCTATTAATTGGAATTTTTGCTTTCTTGGAAACATAGAGACAGATTTGTTATTTATAAAATACTCCAACCAATAATGTTCCAAATTGTTTTATAAAGTATTTTACTCTATTTTGAGACAATTTGTAACTGAAAGATCTAGAACCAATATTGAAGAAAATGGGATGGGAAGTAGTTCCCTACTTAGAAGTGAATTTGCTGTTTAGAACAAAATCTTCCACTTTCTTTGCATGTGTTATACCTTCTCATTACAATAATCTTTACTTTAAGCTATACTTCAATTATATATATATTGTTATAAAGTGGCTACAAGCTTTATTTCCTTAAATATTGATCTTGCACAAGTCTTTTCATAAATGGTGTTTGGCATGTGTTCACCATTTTTCAAATACCCTGAATACAATTGATATTTTGGAACTAATATTTCGTATTCTAATGTTAAATGCTGAAAACCAATATGATGCAATGTTGTTTTGCACTTTCACAATCACTCTATCGTAATACACTACGCTCCTCCTTGCCATCAAAAGGTCAAGACGACAACCACTCAAAATAATTTAAAATATACGTATGTGCCACTAAACTAAATTCAGTGAATGCTCCCGTATCAGTACTCTCATAATTTTATCTACACTGAGTAACAGTACTTATGTACCGAGATACAGCCTCTCTCAGTTTCACTTGTACATGCAAAATTTGATATTCAGTCCACAAAGTTTCATACAATATCAATTCATTATCACTATTATACTTTCAATTGAACTTTCTTCTTGGTGTGTCTTCTCTCAATTTGATGACCTTGTCTTTATACACTATGATAAGTAATTATTCAAATTCTGATCTTGGATTTTTAATTTTTTATGCATTTTATGTAAAGCAGAATTTCACCTGAAGAAACTGATGTTTGAAGATTCATTATTTTTCAACAAAATTATTAATCTACCTCACTTTTTTTAAAAATTTCATTTTACTCTCAGTCTTAGAATCAGGTATTTTCTTTTTTCAAAACAGAATCAAATGAAAAAATTAACTTGAGAGTACAAATTTTAAATAAATAATAAGCTACAATTAATTTACCTTCAAGTCTTGTATCAACAATATTTTAAATCAAAAAATCTATTCTTTAACCTGACATAACATCAAATACATTAATAAAAGTATTAAACTATAAACAGCTTACAAATGTGTTTCCTTCTTGTCATATTGCTTCAAAATTGCAGAAAATTTTTCTAAAAATGAATAACTCAAATGGCGATGGTTTGGAGAAGAAATTATTGTTAACCACTCAGGATTTTGAAGTCGGGGAGCAGTATATAAATCATTTAATGCTTGCTGAAACTGTCTAGAACCCTGTAAAATGAAAAAGACTTAACAAACTATTTACAAAGTACATATTTTTGAACAGTGCAGAAGCAAAAAAAGGAAAGAATACAGTATTTTCTCATCTGTAATTTAGATAAAATTACCTCAATTCACATTATGCATATCAATTAAAAGAAGCCACAAAAATAATAAAGTATTACATTAATGAAAATTTTCGCAATCTACAATATAAAGTCCGAGATCCAGACCTCCAATATCCAGAATGATCCAAAATCCAGACCTCAAAACCACAAAACATTATTTATTACGCATGCACATTTTATTCCACCCAGCGTAATTCCAAACAAAATCCACCTACTTTTTATGATTTATTTTTAAAATTTGTATTTTTAAATGATTTTTATAAATTTTTCAGAAAACATTTTGAATAAATAACCTATAAAATTTTTATCATCATCTTAACCACTTGCGCTACGACTAAACTTCATGGTTGTGGTGCCGTGCGCTACAATATAACAAGCGGTAAAGTGTCTCATTTACGCCGCTTCACATCTGCGAGTGCAATCCAGAGCTGTAACTCGAGAAATAAACAATCTTGTTGTTAGGCGACGTGTGCACCATGTTTTTTTCATTTTTGTGATAAATGCCTATCGATGTGGTGTTCACGTCGATCGCAGTTTGAGACAAAAACCATCTCGATGTGCGTGGCATGTCTTTTTGGTGCAAGTGGTTAAAGTAGATGTATTTCTAAGCATACCTGCAAAAAATAAAGTTTCTTTTTAATTCAAACTTTCCTAAGATATACGTGAATTTACATTTTGAAGGTTTCACATATTCATTGTAAGCGATAATAATGGCAAATGTGGTTTACATATTTTATTAAAATTATTTGAAAGTATGAACAGTGACCTTTTTTCTCACTTGCGTACAATGAGAAAAAAAAAAAAAAAGGGGGGGGGGAAAGTAAACTGGGTTGCTATAAATTTCGCCAAGTGAATTATTCTTGGCGCAAACTGAAGAAAATGTAACAAAATATTTAGCAAAAAATTTATTGAGAAATTTAAATCCCAAGTCGCACTTTCGACACATGGAAAACGCAAATTAAATTTTGACAATTAGTTCAGTAGAACGCGAGCTACAGAACTCTTTTGTTCAAAATGTTGTTGGTGCAAATTCTCAATATGCATCACTGACCTTTCACATATGTAATAATGTCTTCTGTTATCACAAGAAGCTGGATAATTACATTACAACACATCATAGTGACATCTAATGAAGATAATGATTATTTCATTATTATTAATGATGTGTTTCACGTAATGATTATTATATCATATAATCAAAGCTGAAGGAAGGAAGGATCAACATGAACACCAAATTTATTTTAAAAAAATATTTAGAATGTAATTTAGAATTACATTTATTCAAAAGGTGCCTATAATATTTAAACATTAATAAACAGTTAAATATTGCACAGTATGTAAAATAATGAAATGCATGCAATCAAAATTTAAAATGTATCACATTTAAGGTCTGAAATGGTGATATGGAAATTTGCTCAGATCAAGTTGTCGCGCCACGCAATAAATTGGAAGTTGATCTGTCAGCACTATCCTTATCTTCAGGGTCTATGTGTTTATTTTTTTGGCTTATAATTCCTCACTAAATGTAGTATTTCATCTCAATGTACTCTGTCTTTGATATGATTTAAATCAAATTCCTCTTCATTATAATTTGCTTCCGATAGTGAAGAAAGTGACACAGAGGTTATTGAAAATGAAAAAATTGATTGAAAAATTAGTCGGCATTCTCGACACAACAATTATTGGACTTGAACAGCGGAACTTTGTAACTGAACAAGAAATTATGTCTGTTTATAGAATTAAACAGAAAGTATTATCACATCAAATGAAAAACTTAAACAACTTACATTGAAAGAAATGTTTAATAAAGTAAACAAATAAATATTAAGCTTTTTTTTTTTTTTTTTTTTTTTTGTAAATTTTGATTCCCATTAGATCATAATTGTTCTTTATTTCATAAATTACGGTTGCATATTTTTAATTTTTTAATTTCTGCGTGCCATCTTACCAGATTTAAACTGATGATCTATAATCCGGAAAAATCGATAATCCGGAATCGCCGAAGTCCCGATGAGTCCGGATTAATGACTTTTGACTGTAGTACTTTGTGGTGGTGGTACTAAAGGTTTTCAATTTTTGTTTAGATAGTACGCCTTAGTCAAAAGGTTGAGAACCGCTATTCTAGAGTCATAATTAAATTTTTCTCGATTGATTATGCATATCACACAATAATTCACTAATTTATCCTAGCACCAGATAAAAGTTGAAAACTGGTAAAGTTAATGCTGACATTGGCAAAATCAGTGACTCACTCTTCCGAATTTCACTTATTATGTTACGAATACATATGGCATTTACAGATGGCATAAACTTATGCAAAAGTTCATTTTGAATCTTGATAGCAGAACAGAGAACATTCAATTCAAATAACTTGTAAGATATTACAAATGTGGATATGTTGCAGATGTTGGATATGTTTCAGATAAATTGAAATTTGAAGAGCAAAATTTCCCTGCACTCACAAAAGTTTGCAGATTAATTTATTATTAGAATCAAGCTTTTTGCTTGTTTTCTTGGATATATTACAGTTTCACAACACAGATAATTGGGTTTTGCATTTCTCAATATACATTTTGTTTGGAAGGAAATTTTTTTTCCTCTTTTGTGCATTGGCCTTTTGTGACCTGAAACCGTATTTTTGGATTTATATGGTATTTCATATGATTTTTTAATTCCAATTTATAAAATCCTTTAGTTCAAGCAATAAGAAATATGCTAAATTAGACTACAATTTCCACTTAATTTATCGATTTTATGTACCTTATCTGTTTGTGTAATCAGAAGGCTAATTATGGTAGCTCTAATTTTATGAAGACATGTATGTAATTTATGAATCGACTTAATATTTTATTGCTTTTATTAATGTACCTTTACAGATATTTTCATTGCTTAAATTATTAAACATCTTTTTTTTTTATCGCTCATATATGAAAAGCTCTAAACTTATTCTAACACTACAACCAGGACTTAACTTCTAAAATTAGAAATAGAAAAATATATATACAGAATGCCGATAGGAACAGAAATGAAAAATAAATGAAGATAATAGATAAAGCAATAAATAATTAAAATAAATTATAAAGGATGAAAATATTAATAAATTAAGTTAATAATAATTAAGTAAATAATGTGTTAAAATACCAAAAATTAAATTAAAAAGAGTAAACGAATAATAAATTAGCATAAATTCAAAAACATTAAGTAAAATAATTAAAGGAATGAAAGGGAAGTTAATAATAATAAGACATGATACATAAAATAAAAGGTAGGTTTTCATTCACTTTTTGTTTTCCTCAAATAGCCATACACATGCTTCTCAAACACCCGTTGAGAACAGCTGAGCCAATCAGTTATACAGCCATCTCATCACCAAGAATGTTATACAGAATACACCACTAGGAATGGTGTACAGCCATCTCATCACCAAGAACACACCACTAGGGATGGTGTATTATATGCTAGCAAGAAACCATAAGAACACAAATAATTCTTGAATGACATTCAAACTAGCAGTCAGTCTCCACTAATCGCTGTACTGTCCAAGGAGATGATGAAACGAAAATAAATATTTTTGCTCAGAGGGAAAACAAAAATGTACTTATAGCTCCATGGAATGAAAAATACTTTTCTTTACATTGAAATATACGCATATTTTTATTTTGGCTCCTAATCCATTTAAACACATTCAAATCAAATGAATATAGACAATAAAAATTTCATTTTGAGTTCATATTTTTACAAGGCAAATTTTCTTTCTCAGCTGCTGAACCCCACATTCCCACACATTTTGGACTTCCCACAGTCATTTACTCTGCTTCTAATATGAATATCAATTTTACTAATTGTTAAATAAAATATGGTATTAATGTTTTCTGTTAACAATATTCTTTATTAATACTGCAATTCAGGCGTACAACAGAATTCGTCTAATAAGTTTAGGTGCACTCTGGCTAGAACTATGATTTCACTCAAAAGATAGACAAGGACCCAATAAGGACACCTGCTGCATTAAAGTCTTGATATCAATGAAATTTTTCACGTCTTAAAATAGATGCATATAACACAATGAACTTGTTAAAGTAGTAACTTAGAAAATGGTCATAATGATCTTTCTTTAAGATCATAAACTATTAACTATTTTTTGACATTATTTAGTTTGAGTATGTCTTGTACTTTATATTTACTACACATGTTCATTAGTTTTATCATTTTAAAATAATTTTTATTTTTTCAGCATGATCAAAATCAAATACAGGTTGAATTAAGTCCTTTAAAACCTCTGTTTCATCTTCAGCTATGCTTCAAAAAAAAGATGCTTCAATTAAATAGTCCATGTTTATTTATCAGGTAAGAAGAAGCCAAGAAATAAGAAGAAACATCTTCACAATAAGCCTACTTTAATTAAACAAAACTAAACAACTTTAAGTATAAACTTGGAAGCAAAAAAACTCAGTTTTCATAATACTAATCCCTAAAATGTAATATAAATTACATTAAATTCAGTGCTAAACAACAAACACTCACTTCTTCCTACTTGAATACTATGCTGAGGCAGGTTTGATTAGAGATAGATAAAGTGTTCCCTTTGTCCTAGCAAAATATGTTTTTCATCAATGATGGTAGCATGCAACGGATAGCATACTACCATCATTGATGAAATACATACACAGCAATGTGCAATTTGTTCTTTTGGGGATTTCCAATTCTAAATAAATTTGATAATGCAATGCAAACTGTATATTTAAAGAAATTATAGGATTTTATGATATGACTGAGTTAAAAAAAAAAAAAGTAATTTTTTTCACACCATTTCAAATTTTTAGACATGCGCCACATGTCCTGAGATGCTGTACCTGCCTTACCTCATTAACCCCTTCGATGCGGGTAGCGAAAACGCGTGCTTCTCGCGGAGGCCGGCAGTGCCTTACGCGAGCGTCTTTCCAGGGCCTGGGGCATTTTTGCTACTAAGCCTAAATCCATGAAATTTCCGAAGTATCAACGCATTGTTTAATAATGCTCTATAGAGTATTTAAACGGCTTATGCTTTATAGATATTTATATATATATATCCTTTAATTACCTTATTTTCTTGTTTAAATGCATATTTTACACATTTTATTTTAATTACTCACCATTTTATGACTTTTAACATTATACATCTGAAAACTAAATATATTACTTAAAATTCTCTTTTCATATGAAAAATTTGAAAACAGGGATCTACACACAGTCCTACATTACATTCCTTCAACTCGTAATAACTCATTTGCCGTTTTGGAGGATTTTTCCGGGAATGTGAACAAACGAAGCATCGTTGTCTCATTTTCTTATCAGTCTCTTCTGAACAAAGTTTTGGAAAATGTTTTTCAGTTAATCTTTCAGAATCAATATCAGAATATCAGAATTTCAGAATCAATATCTGAAATATTTTGCATCATTTCTGCTATTTCGTGCTCTGTTAAACATTTTCGACGCTTCGACATTGCAATGGTAAAAACAGAAAGAATTCATGTCTAACAAGATCTAATTATTTTCTAAAAACTGAACTGTAAACCAAAATACTCAACGCTTTAGCGCATATAAAATTTCTACTTACAATAAACAACTACCACGTGTGAATAAAGTGCGATATAATAAATAGACGTCATAAATCACGCCATTCGGAAACATTTAGTTCCCCGTTTGTATATATAATCAAAAACACGTGTATGTGAGTCATGCTTCTCTCATTTCGAGTAGAAGGTCTAATGTACATGTATCTGAAACCATATGGACATACAGTGCCATCTTGTGGCAGAAATTATAGTTTCTAAAACGTTGCAGGGTACTGGTACAAATACGTGACAGTCGGTAGTAAACGGGAAAATGCTCTGGCATACCTGCGTGTCGGCCGGTAGATGAGTGTGTTCGTTGCTGGCACATAGACGTGACAGTCGGCGCGAAGGGGTTAATGGTTTTACTTACAAATATATTATAATATGCTATTATTCAATCATAATATTCCCTACCAAAAACAAAAGTAAAACAAATTAAAAATTCATTTTAAGATATAAAATCCAAAATTCACTTTCTGGTCTGCTCCTCTGACATAAACTTTTGATTTAAATATGATTAAGATTCAAATAAATTTGATTGCCTCATCAACATTTTTTCTTCCCCCTCCAAAAAAAATAATTATTCTAATCTTTAGCAGTGAAGTCCCTTTTTCATTATTGCTAACATATCATTTAAATATGACTACCATTAAATAAATACAGCTTTGCTACACTAAAACCCAAACTACAACACATATAGTATTTGAAAGAAATAACATTAGTAACTTACTTCAAACATCAAGTGAACAAAGCTTCGCCTATTCAAATAAGCTTTAACTACAGTATCCTTTAAACTCATTAAATGGCCTTCAATTAAAGATATGTGAGAAAAAAGAAAGTGACTGAAGTGCCTAAAATAAAAAATCATTTATAAAAGTATACAGTAAGATTTTTTATAATTTATTCATCAGTATTTTGCATAAAATCAACTTTTTTTATTATGAAAATATTAAGGACACGTTAAAAACTGAGCTTCCTAAAACTTACTTTTCTTCTTGTTTGTCATTTTCATTCAAGTTAATAACAACTGACAAGCCAAGTTTTACCCGTTTTTGGCCAGAGCTTCTTGGATACTAGAAAGAGGAACAAGTATTTCAATGGACTTCAATTGAACAAATAATGTCGCAAATATAGGCAACTCGCAAGAAATAAAGAAGATATTTTTTCATCACTCTTAAGATTTATAATTACTAATAGGAATAAAGGGGGAGTGACGAAGCAACATAACATTATCATATTAGGCTGATGTGAAAGAATCAGGTTCCTATTGCATGCTTAGGATTTACCATGTAATTTCAACAGTAAATTTCTAATAGAAAAGCAATATTCTTTTCTGCAACATACAAAATACCAATTACATAATTCAAACAGAATAAAAATAAAGTAATCATGCAAAAATAATAAGTAAATAAATATTTAAAAAAAAAACTGCTGCAAAACACTGGACAATAATAGAAGAATTAGTATTATATACAGTCAAAAGTCGTTAATTTGGACACCCATAATCCAGAATGATCTATAATCCGGACCTCAAAGCTACAAACTTTCTGCACATGCATGCGTTTACGAGTGCGCGTAAGACATTTACGGCTGCGAATATGTTTGTGCGCATGCGCGTGTAATGTGTAACGGAGGTAAGCTAAAATTATCTAATTCAGTTAATGTTGCAGATTGCATTGTTCCTTAATCTACGAATTGGATCCCGCTTATTATTTTTTGCAGACTGTTAGAGCAATTTCATAAAAGTAAGCTTGAACTTTCGATTATGTCAAATAGAATTTCCGATATATATTTACTAATATGTAATTTGGTATCTACAAAAGTATGTTTTGAAATAAAATCCGAAATCTGTTTATCAATTTCACACCACGATTGGAAGTTGATCTGTCAGCAACTATCCTTATCTTCAGGGCAGATGTTTTATTTTATTTGGCTTATAATTCCTTACTAAATGTAGTATTTCATCTCGATGTACTCCGTCTTTGATATGATTTAAATCAAGTTCCTCGTCATTATAATTCGCTTCCGATAGTGAAGAAGTGACCCAGAGGTTATTGAAAACGAAAAATTTCGATTGACAAATTAGTCGGTATTCTCAACACAAGCAATTATAGGACTTGAACAGCGGAACTTTGTAACTAAACAAGAAATTATGTCTGTTTATAGAATTAAAGAGAAAGTATTATCACATGAAACGAAGCAACTTACATTGAAAGAAATGTTTAATAAAGTAAACAAATAAATATTAAGCTTTTTTTTTGTAAATTTTGATACCCTTTAGATCATAATTGTTCTTTATTTCATAAATTACGGTTTCATATTTTTAATTTTGCATGCCAATCTTAAACTGATGATCTATAATCCGGAAAAATCGATAATCCGGAATCGCCGAGTCCAGATTAACGACTTTTGACTGTATTACCTTCAATGTAAAACAGACTCAGATATTAAGTGACATTGCATTTTCTATAGAATAAAGCTTACCCACCCCCCCAAAAAAAGAAAGGTCTTGTACAGACAAGTACAAACTCATACATAACCAATGATATATTGAATAAGCTTTAATCGTTGTATGTTCTCATGTAAAACTAAATATACTTTTTAACACAAAAAATAAGAAATAAGCAAAAACTTATCTTTACATTTTAAAATAAAACAGGTTACGCAAAATACATTTTCCAGGTACAATATTCTCAAGCAAGTCGAAAAGTACCGTTTTATATTACTACACAATACAGTATAATAAAGTTATTAATTTTTTTCCTAACAGTGTTATGAAATTATAATGCAAGCCTATCATTTGTAAGATAATGTAATATCAAATATGGTATATTAGCAAAAATGTAAATGAAACAACTATATGCATACTTCTTCATTTGTACCATCATCAGGTTTCTGTAAACCAAGCTCAATGCTGGTTGCCTTATTCCTTAGCAAGCGCCGCTGCAAACTGTTATAACTACTGGAACGTGGAAGACAAGCTGTAGATGTTTCAGGAGTAAGATGAGTAGTAGGAAGACTATTATAACCTTCATGTGATTGGAGGGAATCTGAAAAATTTTGATAAGAATATACTCTCATTCCTTAATACACTTTATCAACATAAGGATAATACAAGTAGAGATATTTTTCGGTACCTGAATCACTATCTCTGGATTCATCAAAATGACCCGATAAACGACTAGGTACATTGACAGGCACACTGTGAGCTAAAATTGAATAATTCAGAAATCAATGGTTACGATAAAATGAAAGATCAAATTTAAATATTTAAATTTTGAAGCCATTTAAAAAAATTAATTTGTTCAAACAAATAAAAATTTAACATAATGGTTAAAAATCTTTTGAATAGCTCAACTTTCTGGGAAATTACTCTATTACATCCTACAAATTTTTATTTAATACACAAATTTTATAATATAATCCACAGATTTAAGTAATATTTTATGAAATTTACTTATTCAAAAAATAATTAATATGCATAAAAATCACACATTCTTTTCAAGTAACTGGTCAAATAGTTTAATAGCATGTACTACTTAAATGAAATGTGTTAAAAATCTTCAACCTGCGGAATACTTTTAGAGGCAGTTTTATTTTTTTTAAATAAATAGTTCCTTGTTTAGCCATTACACAAGCATTTGAAAGCTTTTCTTCCCAAAAGACTTTTCATGCATTTCTTAATTATGATCAAAATAAAAAAAGAAAGAAACATTAATACCATTATACAGTTTTGTCTGCATGTCATTACAGAAGGTTAGCTTTTTTTGTGGTGTAATTTTTCCGTAAGTGATATAGGCATCTTATTTCAAAACTTACTGTTTTTGATTACCATACTTCATTTATTCTAGCTTACTTTGTTATTCAAAGATGGCCTTAATCAACAGTAAAAGAAATTTTCAAGTTTAAACATAAGGCCTAGCCATTACGAATAAGTATATTTTACAACTCAAATGCACAAAGGTGGCCCCTTTTCTGCATCAAAAATTGACAGCAACAGTAAACAGAGAAAAGGTGCATTCCCTACCACAAATGTCAAATCATGTGCAGAAGAAGGGAAAAAAAAAAAAAAGACTTATAATGCAATTACGGTTTTTTAAACGACACCCCCCTCCCACATCTACCTTCTACAGACTTACTTCTCCCTAGCTAACCATCACTAGTTTTGTGTTTTGGAAAATTCTCAAGGAATATGCTGTAAAATTTCTTTTCTCAAGAAATAAGAAAGGTAAAAAGAATCTTAAGCAAAATTCCTGTAATCCTTATTATCATTAAAAAAATTTATAAGCTTTTAACAAAACTGAAAACTATAATAAACATACAAACAAAGCCATATAAGCATATAATAAGTTGAAAAGCATACCCAAATGTGTTTCTAACTTCTCCGATGATTTATTTATATTGATTTCTCCAACAGATGAATTCCAATTTCCAGATTCCTCATTTTCTTGTTCCCTAAATTATTGCAAAACACAGTATTTCAATATGCTATATAAATTCTTTGACACTATAACCATAAAAATTATATAAGAAAAGTATGCTAAAATAAAAGTATAATTACTAACCCAATACGAAATGTAGTTACTGGTGGTGCAGGAAAAACAACACTAAGCATTATTTGTGATGGAGATCTGTAAAAATAAATAATTATAACTTAATTTATGTATATAATACTCAACAAAACAGCATCTATACAAAGGCTGTCTAAGTATGAATCAAATTGCTGAGCAATTCAAAGGTGTGCAACGAATATTTTTGAAACTTCATAAATTCCAATATAATCTGATAGATAAATTTAAAAAAAAAAAAAAAAATTCAAGTCTGTATAGGCAACAGCAAGTTAAATACAAAAACAATCAATTGTCTACTTACACTACGACATTAGCAAACGTCTTATGTGATTTCTTTTAACAATCTGCCACCATTTATAGATACATCCGTAATTATGTTTATAAATAAATTTGATTTATCATTGAATATAATGTAATATAATTTTGCTTGGAGGGAAACTTTTCTTGGCATCTATGTAAACATTCTTGATAATGGGATAGAATTGGTGAAAGACCATAGAAAGGGTGAACAATACCAAGAGAATTTTATGCAGTCAGATATGAATAATAATGGTGGACGAAAGGACAGACAGTGACTTCACAACATTTGAAATATTCTGGATCACTACAGTTCTGACCCATATAGCAGATTTCAGGAACAGAGATCTTTTCTTCGAGATTTTTTTTCAACACACTGCTACTGACATATCATGGTACCTTCCATTTGCAAGCATACCTACTTCTCCACAAATCTGTATATCTTGCCCATAATGTGTACCACAAATCATCACAATGAAGCTACTTTAGTCATTCCATGAAGCAGGATCTTTCAAACTCTACAAGACAGACATAATATATTTTTGCCAGCATAATGGAACTTTAAACCACATTCTATCACTTCTCTCAATTCCGATAACCAGAAATGATCTCATGACATCTTTTAAGTTTTACCAATTTTCAAATCACACAGCAAAGAATTTACTGCAAGCTGTATTACTTCATGCAGTGATTTAATTACAAAAATAATAATAATCGCTTAGACAGGTAAATATTGTCCAAATATAAGAAAATTCTCTGCTTATTTTAATTTTGAAGATGAGTAATTTTAAAGGAGGACAGTATTCACCGTCAAAAAGAAAAATTCTTAAAAACTTCTTTTAATAAGACTGTTGTGAGCTACTTTATATTGGAATACTATACACTGGCAAGAAATTATTGACACTATAAAGGACTTCCTTGCACGCATAAAACAACTCCAATTACAAATTGCCCAGCCCTTGCATGTTAATGCAGTAGCTGATACAAATATATATTAAGGAGTAGGGGCTGGACAATGAAACAAACATCTGCATCTACTGTTTAATACAGTACAAAGTCAGAGATCCAGACTCATCGGGACTTCAGCGATTACAGATTTGGGATTTTTCCGGATATTAGATCATCCGTTTAAATCTAGTAAGATGGCATGTAGAGATTACAATACTAAAAATATGAAATTGTGATTTATGAAATAATGAAGCATTTATGATCTAAAAGGTATCAAAATTTACAAAAAAGCTTAATACTTATTTGTTTACTTTTTTAAATGTTCTTTCAATGTAGGTTAAGTTGCTTTATTTTTTATGCTAGAACTTTCTCTTCAATTCAAGGCGGACATAATTTCTTGTTCAGTTACAAAGTTCCATAGTTTAAGTCCTGTAATTCCTATGTCGAGAATTCCGACTAACTTGTCAATCAAAATTTTTTCATTTTAGTAACTTCTCTGTCTCTTTCTTCACTATCGGTACCAGTATTTTCTGGATCTAGAACTATAACTATAGATTTTGCCATCCATTAATTTATTAATGATTGGGGCATTGTCATTGCAATGAAAAACTTTTTTATCATCTTCATTTATTACTGTTTCTCCACATTTCTTTATAAAATCCATTAAGTGGAAAATTTTACTTTTGGTTTGCGATACCTGAAAATCTTCAAATTTATGCTCATCATCTTCACCATAAAAATATGCCGAGCATTTTTTAAAGTATCAGGTGACACATCCTTCCACGATCTTCCTATGCTCCACACAGTAGATTTTATGCTAAAATATTTCAAAAATTCTTGAATAGACTTGCCACTATCTAAGAACTTTAGCAAATTTTAAAAATGCTACTTTATAATTGCATTTCAGTATTCAGCGGCAGATTTTATTTTTATTAAGGAAGAAACTTCATAATTTTCTTCATAATAGAAAGAAAGTCACCTGCATATGATTTATGTTAAGTACATGAGTATTTTACTTGCAGACATAACTAAGATAAAAGATCACAATTTCTTAAACTATTTCATTAAAGTGACCGACACACCACGAATCACAACAAATGAAATAACAGCCTCAATCTTGCTTTGTGCTCACTGGCTAATATATGCCAGATGGCATATGGTGGCACTCGATGTTCATTGGAGAACTGGAACACAGTGATTTTAAACACATATGCTCTCATTCACAAAGCAAAACCACACAATAATGTCTCACTGATGAAATGACTTTGATTTTTTCTTATATATAATCTAGAGAAAAACCAAGTGCTTTCAGTTCTCAATTTTTTGGTTCACATAAGCCAAGCTACATAAAAATCTCAAAAAATTTTAAAACTAAGACACCTGAGAGAAATATGTTGTAAATCACGTTGACAGGAGTACGGTCCGAAATCAGGAGAACTGACAACTCTGCACTACTTTACCATAGTTGCTTAGTCATGAAAATTAATCTCTGAAGCTACTATCTGGCTCTTTTGGTACAAATGAGAAAGTTTACGAGAATAAGTTCTACCATAATTCAAGTAGTCACTATTTTATGTTTCTTGGCTAACACTCTGACCTCTTTCTACAATAAGTTTCTCTTACTTCAGCAATAACTTTGATTAGACAAAATCCTTTAACTGTGATTCCCGAGACATTTCAGGTGCCACACAGACATAAAACGATTTGCTTCAGGTGCCACACGGACATAAAATGATTTGCTTTCTTTAGGATTCTAGTAAATCCACCATTTATGCCCTTTAATCAAATAATTTACAATATTTGATGCCAGTACCTTTAGTACTGCTAGAATTTCAATTTCCCACTCAGATTGCTGTTAATACAATTTTACATCATTCACAGAATCAGAAATGACGGCTAAGTTTGAAATTTGGAATTTTGTGTCTGAGAAGTGTTTCAGTTTCACAGTCCAACTATACATTCTAAACAAAACTATAAAATAAAAGAATCGAAAAAAGAATTTGTTCATGGTAATTTCAATTTTGTGGTAAAAAACTGTATTCCTGCAGAAGTTTTATCACTGCTTCTTCTCTTGTAGGTAAATTCCACAAATGCATATTTTTAAAGAGAGTCATCCCATTCAAAAAAAGAGCTAGTTTTTCTATAAAAAATGTTGGAACTTCAGATGGAACAAAGAGCATGCATTAAAAAAATAATAAGTGCATGGTTTTCTGAAGAAGTTAATAAGCATTGCTGCCACAGTCTGCCACAATGTAATCTACATATCTGGCAGCTTCTGCTGAGGTGACTGCACTAATATGTTAAGTAGCATGCATTTTTAAGTTTTTAGAATTATTTAAAAAAATCTTAGAGTAAAAAAAAGTCAATTTTGTTTATTTGGTATTCTACAAAACAATTTAGAACATTTCTGAAATATATGTTTACCTGATTGTATGAACCTTGAGAGTGGTACCCTGATAAGATATAGACACTGATCCAAAGATCATTTCTCTCAGCATCTGTTCATCAGAACTGGATTTCTGCCACTATAAAAAATTGAGCAAATTGAAAATATTAAATATGATATATATATTAATAATATACGTAATTAAAAGTTTTCCATTTTAAAATATTAAATGCTATTTAAAATAACTCATTTAAAAATTTATTAATAATTTATCCATCTAAAAATTTCAAGCACTTGTATCAAAGTTTAAAACTATTTAAAAACAAACACACATAAAATTTTAATGAATAACTAAGTTAGTAGCTTGAGACTAGTACAATAATAGGTCTATACCTAAAAAATACATAAAGGAAACACAGAGAGAGGTTTTTTTTAAGGGGGTAGGAACCATTGAAAATGCAATTATATAGTTTGTTTCTACTCTAGAACTATGCAATTCAAGTTATTTAAAAAAAAAAAAAAAAAAAGACTGAAAGAAATAACATATAATAAAAACTAATAAGAGATAAACAAGATATCGATTTACAAATTTCATAAATGTCATTAAAATTATCCACAACTTCTGAAGTCAAATTACAGTTATGATAAAATAACAGCACCAAAAAAAAAAAAAAAAAAAAAAAAAAAAAAAAAAAAACACTTAAAAATTTATACTCATTTTCAGATTATTTAAAATGCAGTTTTCACCACAACATATTATTTAAAATTTTTAAAATAATAATTAATAAAGCATATAAAGATTTAAACCAGTTTCATGATTAACAATTTTCTAGTTTTCTTTTCATCTAACAATGTTCCTATGAAATAACATTTGCCAGATTTTTCGAAATTGCATTACTTTCTTTACTTCGTTCCAGGAAGTAAAAAAAAGGACAAAAATTTAAATAAAAAAGGGAAGGAGGAAGAAAGAAAATTTAAAAGCAATTCATGTAACATGAATTAATAAAAGTCTTACTTCATAAATGAAATCTTTGCTTTGGCTGTCATTTAACTTAAAAGACTTTTCAATACTGCTTTCTTGATTCTTTCTTGATCTGAGATGCACAGATGGCTTTTCAAATTTACCACCTGGCGATGCTGATGGGTCTTTTTTCCGGACTGCTTTAGAATCAAACAGTAATCTCCGATCTTGTCCATTGAGCTCTCGAAAAAGTAATATCCGAACTTGCTTTGAACTGTCAAATTCTGAAGCTTTAACCCTGTTTAAAAAATATCCCATTTAGTACTATAAAAATATATTAAAAAACAATTTCAGTATTATTAAAAGAAACACACTGACACATTTAACACCACATATTTCAATGACGAAATGTATCCTGTAATTTGGTAGTTGTTTTAAGACTAGTAGCATCAATTAAAGCATCATTTTCAGTCACACAAATGCTGCTGCACATTTATGTGACTTCCACAAATATCAAATAATAGTTGACACCACACATAAGTAAGCAATACCGTAGCAAAACTCTTAAGGGTTATCTTCATCAGAAGGGAGGCCTTCGACAACTTTTTAATGAAAACTGGCTAAATGACAAGACATGAAAAAAATTACCAAAACTCAAAACAGCCGGTAATTTAATTTATCAGGAATTAACTATAGTTCCTCTCTGGGATTCAAAGATTACCACATAATTACTAGTGGCAATATTTGGACTAAGTTTTGATAACCGATTAGGCTTACCAGAAGTAGAACCTTAGGCCAATTGACTTAAGAGGCCTTAAAATTATTCTACAATCAATCCTAATCCTGTGGTTCCTTCATAAAAACAAGGGGGGGGATTCTCGGTAGGACCTTGAATGAATGTTACACCTTGCACCTTTAACAGCGCTTTGGGAAAACCGAAAAAAGAAATACACTTCAATTTATATTCGGATTTTAACATTTGAGAAATTTTTTTTCAAGTACATGATTTCTATTTTAGTGTACCAATTTCCAAGTTTGAATACATAGAACAATAACGAGCAATATCTTGATCACCTTCCTTTAAATAAAAGAAAATCATGTTTTATTATTTTTAAATATTATGTTATATTATTTAAATAGAATATCCAGGCTTTAAGTAAATAAATAAAGTATGGGAAATTTTAGAAAAACAGCAATAAAAATGGAATAATTATGAAAACATTCATTTAAAATATACATGAAAGAATTCACTTCAAGTTAAAATATGATGCAATGATTAAAGCTTGTCAATATTTTCACATTGCTCACTAATTTTTAGAAGCTTAAAATTAACTTTATTATAGGAAAATGTCTATTAATACGTTCTCATAAAACCATTCATACCCTAATGTTAACACATGCCATTCAGTAATTAAATAGGGTACTTTCTAATTATCGTCACCCAACTCCAAAACGTCAGCAACGAGGCGACGACTAATTTTTCGGCAAGCTACTACCATTGGCAACCATTGTGAAAAAAAACATTAAGAATTCCATAACAGTGAATGAATCAATGAAATTTAAAAAGAAAACAAACATTCATATTACACCTTTCTGAAGAAACAGTTCTATAATTTTTTTTTCACTGTTACTTTCCCAACGTTAACAGCGATCCGTGTTCGCTTTTTAAAAAAAAAAAAAAAAAAAAAAACAGAACTGCACAAATTTAGCATTGCGCACGCTATTGTTCTACCCACGTAACACAGCGGTCTGTTTTCGCTCTACAAAACATCAGGGAATTCCACAAATTCGGCATCAGCGCAAAAATTTTGATCCGCAAAATTCGATTGCTTACGAAGTACAACTTCACAGAATGCGAGTTTTTGTATTCTATGAAGTTGTACACCCATTGAGCAAAAACACCCCTATTTTTTAAATATTAAGCGCTTTCCTTTTCATCATCCCAAACTCCACAGGCTCATTACGATTCCTTACGCCTTCGCCCCCCAAAAAAACATTAAATAAAACAAAAATAAACACTAATGACACATAATTTGAAGGCGGAAATCAGCGCGCATAACTGGGTTGTCATATAAATGCATTTTATTTTGACGACATAGTGCGTTGCCTCGGGAATACTTTTCAGGGAGATGCAGATAATCAGAAAGTACCTTAAATTGGTTTCTAGGGGCTTTTATTATTAACGGAGGTACCCAGATTCATGTTTTCAAATTAGTTTCTTGCACAATAAAAAAGACTTTAAAAACTTTATGTTTCTATCTTTACACTGTACACAAATTCTTTAATTGAAAAGAACCAAATGACTATACAACCTAAATTCTATGGTGCGAAACAAAATCTGAAAATATCTATCCAGAAAAGTTATATTTAAACTAGATTATTTAAAAGCATATTACTTAAAAAGACATCCTGATCAAACAAAATTTAAAAAATTGGAGAAAAAAAGAATAAGAATTCAGCTTGTATCGCTTTAGAGATGGCTGCAACAGCATTAAATTCAACAGTGTTTACTAACCCATTAACCTCGGCTTATTTTCTGCAAATGTTTTTTAAACAGCAAAAACTTAATCGGCCCTCTGACATTTTTTTATCGCTATACCTCTGCAATGCATACAGACTTCACATCTCCTGGTGCTGATTTTTATTTGGTAGTTTCATTGCAGTACGCTTTGACATGGATTACCCTACCTTTACTTCAATGACGACCTTTTAAACGCTCTGAGAAAATCAGTACACTCATTAACAAAAGCTTAAAACAAAAAGTTGATGTTATTCAACAGATAAAATATTAAAAAAAAAACTTAACAAATTTTACCATACAAATTTTACAATGTTTTCAACTATGACATGGATAATCCTGATTAAAATTTTCCTTCATGACATATATACGAGCGATATATTCACATTTACATGATCTGGATCAAAAACCTAAATTTGAAACAAGCAGTCTGGATCATAAATCTGTATTAATTTTCAGATATCTAACTAAAATAAATAAAATCTTATTTTCATAAAATTGCTCAATTCAATCAAATTAAGCAGTTTTACACAATTCCACAAACCACATAGACTTCAAATAACCCTTGGGTAGACTTCAACTAACCCTTGGGTTATTTGAAGACTATTATAGACTTCAAATAACCCTTGGGTACTTACTATACATGCCAATTCCGTGATTCTCCAGCAAATTCATAAATTTATCACAAACGCGATTTAGATGCAAATCTGGACGTGTATTCTAAGCAAAAAAGGAAATTTTTAACAGACGGTGAGTAATGTATTCCCTCACAACGCATTTAAGATTCATTTGGTATGGTTTATAATAAAAAAAAAAAAAAACGATATCTAATATTAACGATCTTTTGACCCGGTTAATCAAATCTCCGAGAGAGAGACCGCAACTGAAAGGAAATATTCGGCTCAGCTTTCAGAACATTCACATGAGCGCACGGGGGGAGGGATAGGAGAAATTTGGTTTATTTAATTATGGCAAAACACTCGATGGCTATCTGCCTATGCCTTCGTGGAAGTCTTTGTAAGGGAAACTGACTCGTATACAAGTTACACATGAGGTAAACTACAAGAACGCCGATGCAGCCAGCCCAAGTTCGCCAGATTCCGAACCACGGAATCGAGCTTGTTCAGTAACATTAGTGCTCGACCGTTGGTTGACGACGGGGGGGTGCATGTTCTTAGCTTGGTGAAGACTCAAGTAACGTGCGGCACACTTGCGTTAATTAAATTTAACCATTCAGGAGGCGGGCGTTAGCGTACTCTCAAAAGAAGGAAGATAAGACGTTCATCCAGGAGATCCATGTAGTAGGCGTTGGAAACAGAATTAATCATCTTTTGCACTATCGCATTTTCCTACTGTTCTCTTTTATGAAAATGGTTCTATGGGGTTAAGGTTTTCAGAGAGTCCATACTATTCAAAATAACGCGAGTCAGTCTCTAGCAAATACCAAAAGATAATATACCAAATACCAAAAGAAAATTCATATCAATGCTTTTAGGAACGTCGGGAGCGCTAGATGTTGCTTCGAAAGTAAATTACGTAATGACTTTTTACATCTCACACAAAACACTTCTCCAGCATTCTCCGCGACTTTTTTTTAAACACAGGAGCAAGAGTTTATCAACTACTTTTCTAACAGAAATCATAATTTAAAAAGAAAAAATGTTTTTATAATTCTAAATAAAAATAAGTACGCTAAAATCTCAGTTATACCTCTTTGCGTTCGTCAATTAATGACCTAAATACAGCAAAAGCACACATGGACGATCTGCTTAGGCAAAGCTTTCGCGAATCACTTGTTAAAAGATGATTTAGGTTTGGTTTATTTAATTACGGCAAAGCACACTAGGGCTATCTGCCTAAGGAAAGGGATGGCTTCGTGGAGACCTTTCTAAGGGAAACTGGCTCGTATACACGTTACACATGGGGAAAACCACAAAAACGCCCATGCAGCCAGCCCGTTTGCGGGATTCGAACCTCGGACCGAACTACCAGTGTCCAGCGACTTTACCGCTCGGCCGCTACACTTGTTAAAAGAAACCGACTCGTATTCAGGGACAAGGGAAAGAAACCAACCAAGTTCCGTTTACTAACTGAAGTTCGAAAATTCATTTTCAGTTTTAACTGGCAAAAAGCATTCTTGCAGCTTAATTTAAACAACTGATACGAACTCTGATAAGACATTTCGATTACTATTCGATAAGAAATATATCGAGATGACATTCAAAAGCACAAAAATTGGAATTTCTATTGAGTTACCATTTCTACTGACTTATCATAAAGACGATACCTTTATGCAGAGACCCCCCACAAAAATAATAATGTCAACGGTCAAAATCTAAAAATTCACAATAGTGGGAATATAGCCAGGCGTAAGAATAAAAACAAACTGCTTCTTCTACTATAAATTTATTATAACGATGCATCAAAAACTGTATATTTATTACTTTTTATGCAGATTAACACCCTAAACTAAGAATTTTTCAAGGGACATTTTTCTCGTTTCTATGAGGGAAAAGTAACATCAGGTTGTATTACAGGATAATCTGTAGGCCCTTAAACTTGAGACCCTAGGCTCAGTGTACTGAAGACCTATTCAATGAACATGCTCATTTATGATTAATACGGGTTGTTCGCATCCTGCACAGAATGTGGCAAAAATAACTCGAAGAGTTTTATTTAAAGAAGAAAAACGAATCTGTGAATGCACCTATTATATCGGAAGATTATTACAATCGCTGACACGAATGTATGACCTCACCAATTTTTCCAGAATTACAAAA